CTGGCTGCACTTCCTCCAAGACAGATTTGTTCATTCTTCTGGCAGTCCATGGTTATTCGGTATTCTTAACCAACACCATAATTCAAATGCATCAGTTCATCTGCAGTCTTCCATATTCATTGTCCAGCTTTCACATGCATATGAGGCAGTTGAAAATACCATGGCTTGTGTCAGGTGCACCTTAGTCCTCCAAGCAATTATCTTTGCTTTTTAATACTTCACAGACATCTTTTGCAGCAGATTTGCCCAGTGCAATATGTTGTTTGATTACTTCACTTCTGCCTCTGTGGGTGCTGACTGTGGATCCAAGTAAAATGAAATCCTAGACAACTTCAGTATTTTCTCTGTTTATCATGGTGTTGCTCATTGGTCCAGTTGTGAGGACTTTTGTTTTTGTTATGGTAAGGTATAATCTATACTGAAGGCTGTAGTCTTTGATCTTCATCAGTAAATGCTTCAAATGTTCTTCACTTTTAGCAAGCAAGTTTGTGTTATCTGCGTATTGCAAGTTGTTAATGAGTCTTCCTCCAATCCTAATTCTTCTTCATATAGTCCAGCCAGATTATTTGTTCAACATACAAATTGAGTAAGTATGGCGAAAGGATACAACACTGATGCACACCTTTCCTGATTTTAAACCACACAGTATCCCCTTGTTCTGTTTTGAACAACTGCCTCTTGGTCTATGTTCTGGTTCCATAATAGCATAATTAAGTGTTCTGGAATTCCCATTCTTTGCAGTATTATCCATAATTTCTTATGTTCCACACACTAGAATGCCTTTGCATAGTGAATAAAATATAGGTAAACATCTTTCTGGTGTTCTTTGCTTTCAGCTAAGATCCATCTTACATCTTCATTCCATGTCTTCTGAATCCGGCTTGAGTTTCTGTCAGTTTCCTGTCAATGCACTGCTGCAACTGTTTTGTTTTGTTTTTTATTATTGTGATCTGGGTGAAAGTTTACAGGCTGCAACTGTCTTTGAATTATTTTCAGCAAAACTTTACTTGTATGTGGTATAATGATATTGTTTAATAAATTCATCATTCTGCTAGATCACCTTTCTTTGGAATGGACACAAATACGGATCTCTTCCAGTTGGTTGGTCGGGTAGTTGTCTTCCAAATTTCTTGTCATAAGCCACTCTGAGGTAGTGAGTTGTTGGGCCTATGGGATCAGCACCACGGACACAGGGGACATCAAGCTCAAGTGGCATAACGTATTACATAAAAAAATGTTCTTGTAGCAACTGGGGTCTTAAAAGCTTGCAAGCAACCATCTCGATGCAACAGTTGGCTTTTTTCCAGAGCAAAGAAGAATGAGGAAAACCAAAGATGCATGGAAACAATTAGTTCAGGGGACTAGTGGAACATGTAGACATCAGCCTACATGACCCTGAGACCAGTAGAACTAGGTGGTGCCCAGCTACCACTGTCAACCACTCAGAAAGGGACCAGTGCAGGAGATCCTGAATAGAGTAGGAGAACAATGAGGAGCAAAACTCAAAATCACAAAAAAAAAAACCAGGCTTATTCATCTGATAGAAACTGGTGAAACCCTCAAGACTATGACCCCTAGTCAACCCGTTGGGTTTGGAACTAAATTCACTCCTGTGGCTTCCAGACAAACAATAGACAGGCATATAAGGTGAATGTTTACACCAGATAAATACACTCCTTAGAACAATCAATCATGGGAGATCAGAAGGGCAGTATTTGCACAGGAAGAGAGCTCAGAGGGCTGAAATGCATAGGGAAGGACACAGAAAAGGTGACCACGAAGAAGAGGTGAGAAGAGAGCTTTTACCTTGTGGGGATTGTAGTCAGTGTCATGAGGCAGAATGTGTATGAACTGCTGTATAGAAAATGAATTTGCTCTGTAAACTTTCACCCAAATCGCACACACACACACAAATTTCTTGGCATAGACAAGTGAGTGCTTCCAGTATTGCATCCGTTTGTTGAAACATCTTCATTGGTATTCCATCCATTCCTGGAGCCTTGTTTTTAGCCAATGCCTTTGATGCCACTTGGCCTTCGTTCAATACCATCAATTCTTGATCGTATGCTACCTCCTGAAATTGTTGAACATCAACAAGTTCTTTTGGTACAGTGACCCTGTGTATTCTGTCCATCTTCCCTTGGTGGCTTCCTCTGTCATTCAATATTTAGCCCATAGAATTCTTTAATATTTCAACTCGAGACTTGAATTTTTTTTTTTTTATTTTTCAGTTCTTTCAGCTTGAGAAATGCTGAGTGTGTTCTTTTCTTTGGTATTCTAACTCCAGGTCTTTACACATTTCACTATAATATTTTACTTTTTCTTCTCAAGCCTCCCTTTGAAATCTGTTCAGCTCTTCTACTTCATTTCTTCCATTCACTTTAGCTACTCTCTGTTCAAGAGCAAGTTTGAGAGTCTTCTGACATCCATTTTGGTTTTCTCTTCCTTTCTCATCTTTTTAATGACCTTTTGGTTTCTTCATGTGTGATGTCCTTGATGCCATCCCACAACTTGTCTGGTCTTCAGTCATTTCTGTTCAGTGTGTCAAATCTATTTTTGAGATGGTCTCTAAATTCAGGTGGGATATTCTCAAGGTCATACTTTGACTCTCAGCAACTTGTTTTAATTTTTCTTCAATGGCAAGTTATTATCTATAAAGTACTTAGAACAGTGTCTGGCATAGAGAAAGTTCTCACTAAAGCCATTATCGGTACTGTTTGGAAGCAGGAACTCGAGAAAAGAGCCTGGAGACACACCACGCTGTCTGTTGTCAGTCGTACACTCCCACACCCCCGCGCCCCATCCCCCACCCCCGAGGAGCCCCATCTGATTAGGAATCCAGAACACTCTGGCTTTTTCTATCCATGAAATGTGACACCCTTCCTGTCCCCAGAAGCCCCTGTCAACAAGAGGGCCTCAGAGCTGACTGTCTGAGTGGAGACTTAACCATCCTGGCAGGAATTAGGGTGCCCTTCCCTAAGACTGAGGAGCACCCCTCTTTCTAGACCCCAGGTCAGGTGGTGAGCTCTTTCCTCTCCACACCTGCCTGGTGGATCCCCCTTCTATCCCCTCCTCCCCCACGTCCCTGGGGCCATGCCTGGCTGTGGGACCATCTGATTCCTGCCAGTCCCTGCTGGACCACCTGGCACCAGGTCCCTGTTCTGAGGCCTGCAGCCTGTGGGGCTGCCCCTGCCACTCAGCAGGCTCCGCCCAGTGGATCCCTTTGTTCTTTGAGCCCAGGCTCCTCCTGACTTCCTGGGGTTGCTGCTCATGACGGGTCTGTTACCCACCAGGTGTCAGTTCTTGACTATCCGGGAACTAAGACTCACGCAGTGAAATAAACATGAATGCTGCAAAATGTGGTCCTGCCTCTGAGGCTCGTGAAGCCCAGAGAGGGCAGGAGAAATCCAAGAAGACTTCATAGAAGTGGCAGCGGGGGGATGGGGCGGTCACTATCACTGGCTCTGGGATCTGAAGGAAGGAAGGGTTGAGTAAGAGCAGAGAGAGGGAGTCATGTCAGGAGGGTAGGAGCCTAGCAAGGTGTTATACCCAGCTGGAGGAGGGGATGAGTAAGTCATCTGTTACATCTGGGAGGGCTTTGAATGCCAAGGCAAGGCCTTTGACTCTCACTAATCAACACCAGTACTAACTGATACTTAGGAAGCTCTTAGCATGAGCCAAGCACCCCAATAAGGATGTTACATACCTAATCTCCTTCAATGAGTCCAACAGCCTGGAGAAGTAGGTAGTGTGTGCTCAAGGTTACACAGCTGCTGTATTAGTCTCCTAGGGCTGCCATAAAGTGCCACAAACTGGGTGGCTTAAAAAACAGAAGTTGATTCTCATAGTTCTGGAAGCCAGAAGCCTAAAATCAACATTTTCAGGGTCATGCTCCTGAAGGTCCTAGAGGAGGATCTTATAGCTTCTGGTGCTCACTAGCCATCCTTGGCATTCCTTGGCTTGTGGACACATCACTCCACCTCTGCCTCTGTTGTTACATGGCATTTCCTCCGTGTCTGTCTGTGTCTTCATATGTGTGTCTGTGTCCAGATTTCCCTCATTTTATAAGGACAACAGTCATTGAATTAGGACCCATCTTAATCCTCATTTTAACATGAGTATATCTGCAAAGACCCTATTTCCAAATAAAGCCACAGTTACAGGTACTAGGAATCGGGGCTTGGATGTATCATTTAGGGGGACAAAATTCAACCCACAGCAGCTGGGATTCTCAGCTGCAGGCCTTCACTTCTCAGAAACAAAGTCACAGTGTGGTCTGGGAGGAGCTCCCCAGGTCTCCCAAGCCCGAGATGCTGGCAGGTTCCATTGCAGGGGTGAAGCCACACTACAAAGCCCACACTTAACAAAACCCTTTTGGTAGCATAAGGTGCTCTGGCCAAAGGTCATGAGTAGACTGATAGAGGGATCACTCGTCACTTTCTATTGTAGTTGTAATCAGCTCTGGTTGATTGTATCAGCCTGAAGTACTGTGTTGGGAGAATCCAAGACCATGTGAAACTGTTAAGATTGACTAGAAATGTCTGCCCTAGGTGAGCATTGAGAGTGGTGGCATCTATGCTGTGTATTTGGCATCCCAGCATTGGTCAAGAGGTCCTCCTGAACTCCTGGGGTTCAGCATTCAGAGCAAATCTTTCCATCTGTACCTGTGGGAGACCTGGGCCCCCTAAAACCAGAAAGACTTAGTCCCACAATGTAAACACATCCCCAGTAGCTGCTTCTGGTCCTGTTGGTCAGTCACCAAGTAGAAGGAGCCCTGGAGGGGGATTGGGAGACCAGGTTATATCCCAGCTCTGCCATTGACAGGCTAAGTATCTTAGACACGTCCCTTCCTGTCTGGGCCTTAGGCTCCATCTATAATGGATGGACATGAAGACCAATCATATCAGGATTTGACAGGTCACTGGGAACAGTGACCTGTGCCTCCTTGTCACCTTCCCTCATCCTCAATTCCCATTCATCATACTCTTCTCTGTCCCCAGACAACCTCTTAGTTCTCACAGTGGCCACCAAGGAGACTGAGGGATTCCGACGTTTCAAGCGCTCAGCCCAGTTCTTCAACTACAAGATCCAGGTGAGGGGTCCCCAGGCTAGGAGGAGGCAGCCTAGGAGTGGTGGGCAAATCCAGGAGCTGGGAGTCTTCCCTTCCCCAACTATGGAGGCCCTGAAACAGAATTGGGGCAACCGGGAAGATTTCTGGAAGTCTGAAGGATGAAGCTGAGTTAGGGAAAGGAAGAGGGAGTAGAGAACACAGCAGAAATGAAGTCAGGGAAGTGAGTAAAGGTGTTGGGGACAGAGGAGGCTGGGAGGTATGCAGCGGGGTTCAAATGCAGGCTGCGTAAGACTCACCTGGAGATAGATTAGAAGGTAGAGCTTGAGAATCAGCATTTTCACAACTCTGTCCAGGTGATTTTGGGGTGAACATGGTTTGGAAACCTTACCTGTATAAACACCAGCTAATGCCTAGTCCATCTGTGGTGTGGCCTTTGTGTCCTTTGTGTGCATACCATGGGGCTGAGCCCAGTGGGGAGACATTCCTCCATTCAGCGAGGGTGCTGAGTACCTTCTCTGTCAGGTACAGTATCAGGCATTGAAGATAGAGTGATGGATAAGATAGACCATGTCACTGTGTATGTGGTGCTTGTCACCTAGTGATACTAAGCAAAAAAGAAAATGTATTAGCTCATATGAGTGAGAACTGAAACAAAGGCTGGCTTTAGCCAAACTGGATCAAGGCATTTAAGCAACATGGTGGGGGCTTTGTCTTTCCACCTCTAGGCCCTGTTTTTTTTCATTTGCAGACATGTTCTCTGCACATGGTGGTAAGGTGACTGCCAGCCACAGACTCATATGACCCAGCTTTGCAATCTGAGCAGAATAAAATAACTTTTCTTAGAGCTGTAACAGAACAGTCCCAGGGAAGACTCTATAGGCCATGCTTGGGTCACCTGCACAAAGCTATGGGGGTGGAGGGGGTGGAGTTGGAGGAGTAGTGCCTTCTGATTGGCCAGGCATGGTCACATGATCACCCCAGAGCCAGGTCTACCTCACACATGCTATAGAATGGTTTCCCCACAGAGCAGGGGAGGAGGTGTGCTCAACAGACACCTGGATATTTGACTGGAAAAAGACTCACGTAAAGCCAGTGATAAAGGACCTTTTTCTACAGGCGCTTGGCCTAGGGGAGGACTGGAACGGTGGGCAGGAGACACCGGCAGGTGGTGGGCAGAAGGTTCGGCTGCTGAAGAAAGTTCTGGAGAAGCATACAGACAAGGAGAACTTGGTCATTCTCTTCACAGACAGGTATTGATTGGGCTGAGGGTTTCCTGGGCTGGGCTGCTTTTGGAGAGATAGAAGAATTTTCTGGAATGAGTTCTTCTCAGAACATTGGGAGTGAGGGAGAATCACTCTAGTTAAGGTTGCCTACAGTTTTGGAGGATCCATGAACTTGAGGATAAGACCTTCTGCTGTAGTCCATTTCCACTCTTGATGGAAGTATGCAAGAGGTGACCTGTCCAGGTGTGGCAAGCCATGAGTTGAGTGTGAGAAAGACATGCATTATGGGGGTGTTTCTCTGGCCAGAGTCAGGTGAACCCATGGCAGGCAGGGCCAGAGACATGGGCAGATTCATTTTCCAGGTTGTGGCCAGGGCTGGTACAGGAAGAGAGGGATTTGTGGAAACCTTTGATCTCTTGTTGGTGCCTGTGTCTTCACCCCACCCCTGCTTTCTGCTCTGGCTGCAGCTATGATGTGGTGTTTGCATCAGGGCCCCGGGAGCTCCTCAAGAAGTTCCGGCAGGCCAAGAGCCAGGTGGTCTTCTCAGCCGAGGAGCTCATCTACCCGGACCGGAGGCTGGAGGCCAAGTACCCAGTGGTGTCTGATGGCAAGAGGTTCCTGGGCTCTGGAGGTGAGAGAGCTGGGTGCGGGGCTGCAAGGGTTGGTCCAGCCACTGCATTTGTGAGGATTCCCCCCCTGACTGGCACCCCACATGGATGTCTCATAGGTCTCAAACCCAGAATGTCCTAAATAGAGCTTGTCTTAGGGTTCTCTAGAGAAATAGAACTAGTGAGCCGTATATACACAGCAATTTACTTCAAGGAGTTGGCCCATGATTGTGAGGGCTGGAAAATCCAGAATCCGTATAGGTCAGGTGGCAGGCTGGAGACTTCTGTAGGCTTGTGTTCCAGGAGCTATAGGCCAGGCGACGGGAAGAGTGAAAAGTGAAGGGACAAAAAGGGTTCTGCCACAGTATCTGTAGTCTAGAGGCAGAACACCAGAGGTGAAGCCCTTTTTAACCAATTAATTGGTTGCATTATATTAGATGACATTGTGGAATGTGACCAAATCAAATTATATTATGTTGTGGAATAGCCAAACCATTGGGAACTATAACCTAGTGAAGCTGACACACAACATTAACTACCCCACAAGGTCCTTGAGTGGCACAAACTTGGCTGGTAACCAAAAAGTTGGCAGTTTGAACCCATCCAGCAGCACTGCAGAAGAAACTGGCTTGGCAATCTGCTTCTATAAAGCTTATAGCCAAGAAAACCCTATGGTGCTCGCAGTTCTACTTTGTAACGTGGGGTTTCCTCAGTCACAAATCAACAACAAAAACAAAACTAACAAAAAAATTAATCATCACAGAGCTCTTGATTTTTTTACCCTAATATCACCCCCACTCCCCCACAGCCTTCCCTGTCTCATGAAACAGCCTACAAATGCTACCTCCCCTAAATCCAAGGGGACTTCCAGGAGAAGGTGGGGTTGGTAGGAAAAGGATGGGAGATGGATGACAGGGGAGGCTGGGGGAGGCCCCTGACCTGGAGGCCGGAAGCTAAGTGTCTGTCTCTGTGTACCCCTTACAACCTCCAGGCTTCATCGGTTATGCCCCCAATCTCAACAAACTGGTGTCCGAGTGGGAGGGCCGGGACAGCGACAGCGACCAGCTCTTTTATACCAAGATCTTCTTAGACCCGGAGAAGAGGGTAAGAGGTAGCAGGCAGGACCAAGGAGATGGGGCTGTACCGGGAGCAGCCCCCTGGGAGCCCCTGGAGTAGGCATTAATGCTCATTCATCTACCCACTCTATGGGGCACTTATTTATTCAGCAAATATTTATTGAGAGCTGACATCATGTCATGGAGGGGGCTGGGGAATGTGGCAGTGAACATGATGGGGCTCTGCCCTCACGGGTAGAGTTGGGAAAACAAGGAACAACCAAATTCATATCAGGTTGTGATGACTGAGATGAAAGGAACTGACAGAGTGGACTGCTCCTCCCCCATCATGCAGGAGGTGGGTATCTGAGGGGGCTGCTGGGTCCTTGACTGGACCTGGGCTTGGGAGCCAGACTTGAGAGCTATTTGGAGGCAGGCAACATCAAGGAGAATGGAGATGGCAGAACAAGGCCAGTGCAGCCCAGACCAGTGAATGTCTTTTGGGTAGGCAGGAAACTCAGGGAGCCCTTGGGGTCAGGGTGCTGGATTCTTCCCTACTCATTCCCCAGCCCCATGCTGTGCTGTGTGACCTTGGTTAAGTTACCTTCCCTCTCTGGTCCTAAGCTTTTGTCATCCATAAAATGAAGCAGCTGGGCTTGTTCAATGGAAAATGATCTTTTTGTTAACTCAGACCTTCCTTCTCCTTCCCCTTTGCCTTTGGTGACATCATTTGCAGAAGTCCAGGGTCCAAGATGTAAAAGGGGAACTGCTTTGTTTGGGATGGGGGCTGGAGCCCAGAGTGCTGCCTGCCCTACCTTTCCCTGGCCTAGGGCTCCAATTCCAAAGAGACAGTATTTCCTAGTGGTTAAAGAACAGGGACTTGAGGGCCAGGTTGCCTGGGTTCAAATTCCAGCTTCACTGCTTTGCTGTGTGATCTTGGGCAAGTTACCCACCCTCTCTTTGCCTTACTTTTTTAATCTGTAAAATGAGGATAATGATAGTACTTTTTCATTTTTTAACTTTCTGTTGTGGTTTGCCTGAAAGTTTACAGAACATATTGGTTTTCCAGTCAATAATTCATGCACGTTTTGTTTTGTGACATTGATTGTAATCCCCACAATGTAACAGCACTCTTGCCACTGCCTCCTCCCTGTGTTTACCGTTTCCATTCCTTCTTCTTTCCTATCCTTTCCTGCCTTCTGAGCTTCATCCCTGGGCAAATGCTCCCCTTTTGATCTCATATGGTTGGTTGTTCTAAGGAGTGTGTCGCTCCCTGGTGTTATTGTTCACCTTACAAGCTTGTCTATTCCTTGGCTGAAAGTTGAGCCACAGGGGGTGAGTTTGGTTCCAGGCTTGAAAAATGTACTAAGGACCCTAGTCTTGAGGGTCGTACCAGTCTCTTAGACCAGGAAGCCTGGTCTTTTTTGATTTTGAGTTTTGTTCCACATTTTTCCCTCGTTCTGTCCAAGACTTCCTATTGTGATCCCTTTCAGAGCAGTAAGCAGTGTAGCTGGGCACCATCTAGATCTTCTGGCCTCAGGGTTGCATAGACTGAGGTTTGTGTGGTCCGTTAATCCTTTGAACTAATTGTTTCCTTGTGTCTTGGATTTTCTTCACTCTTCTTTGCTTCAGACAGGGAGAGACCAATAGTTGCACCTTAGATGGCTGCTCACGAGCCTTTAAGACCTGTACAAAGATGTGATGGCAGAATCTGACCTCTCCTAACTTCACAAGGTGGGAGGAAGATCAAGATCAACAGCCCAAGGCTGATTCCTATGAGGCAGAGGTCAGACATGCCTCCACCCTCCAACCCTTTTTATTAATTCTGACACCAATGGTCCCTCCCATGGTACTCACTACTTCTCTGTTGGGCTCGATAATTCATTTCAATGGCCACACAGAACTCACAGACTGTACTCATGGGGTTTGTTAGGGAAGTAACAGATTGATTGACACAGTGCCTGCAATGATGGGCTTAAGCATTGCAAAGATTATGAGCATAGTGCAGGACTGGGCAATATTTTATTCTGTTGTACATGAGGTTACTATGAGTCGGAACCAATTTGATAACACCTAACAACAGGTTACAATTCAGGACCAGAAACAACTCGGGATACAGTTCTTTGATCAGGACAGCCTCTTCTCAACAGTGCCTGCAGGCAGGCCTCTCTCTAGCCTTCTACCCCTCCGCTTGGCCTCTGCTCTGTTTGGGCAAGTGTTACAAAGCTCTTTTAGCTCTGCCAACAAATGCCCAGAGACACCTCACTCCACTAGTAAGCCACCTGCCTGAAGGCACTCAGCTTTCTTGCTCTGGGGGCCAGGAAGCCCATGGTGCTATCTCCTGTCGGGTCTGCTGCCCAGTCTCCTGGTTCTGCTGTTGCCATTTCTTGCTGCTGCTTCTTGCTGTCTCTGTCTCAGCAAAGTGTTACAACTCTCTCTGTCTCCTGGGTGGAGGAGGTTCACCACAGGGATCTTGAGTCCAAAGGACATACTCCACTCCTGGCTCTTCTTTCATGATGCTGGTGAGAGCCCCTCTTTTTGCCTCTGGGATAGCTCATTTTAAGCCTAGTGTAATGGCGAAACTGACCAATCCCTATGTAAGAGTTCCATACACCTTATTTGCATGGTCCCACCTTCACAAGGGTCCCAAGCACCTTATTTT